GGCTAGCAGAAGCTAACTGTAGCAACTCCACCACAAAGCAGAACTCCTTCAGGCTTGAGTTTTTTGTGGAGATACAACATCAGTGATGCAGAGCAAACAGAGGCAGTGGTTGAGTCACGTTGCTGTTTGCCAATCAGAGGAGAGAGTTCATAATCTTTTACGTTCTTTTACACTCCTCATCATTACATCATCATTACACTCATCGTGTATCGGAGTGTTTACGTTGTGAAGTGCCTTGAGACGACTAAAAGAGACAATGTGTAGTTTATAACCTTAATTTTTTGAATTATCCATCAAAATGTTGATGAAAATGAATGAAATGATAACCAGTTGTTGAAAAATATTGGCAGCTTCGTAACATATAACCATAAAAATCAGGTCTGAAATACATGGGAGCGGGTCTAAGTCTCTGGGCGACGCCATATTAGACACCATGCTTCCTTCTACGGGAGCCCATGAGGACAAAATGTGTTTACTAAATTGTATCAAACGGATACAAAATGTTGTTGTTTTACACATTTACCTCTTCACATGTTGCCAGTGATGAAAGGGAGTCTGATGTGTTCGTTATTTTGCTAAGGTTTGCACTCCCGAGGGCTTTTTGACCCTAACGGGCATCCGTTGGTACGGTCTTACTCCAACACAAAAATACTGCTTGCAGCAATTTAGGTATCTACTGCCCACTGTCACAGGGAAAATCACCCTGTCACTGTAAATAAAACAAACTGAATTGAATAATGAGTAAGACTCCAAACCTTACCATCTTTTGCTCCCCTGTTCTCCGGCTAACTTCTACTTCCTGAAACAGAAAACGTTTTTTCACAGAGAGCGACTCACAAGGTGTTCATTTGTACCTGAGACCAAATGTACTGATCTCAACACATGTTTACAGTAGACATTTAATAGGTCATTTCTATCTTTATTTACAAGTGTAATAAACATGTTCAGTCATTTTTATATTATTGGCTATAATGTCATCCATCAACAGGATATGAGGAGTAGATGACACCTTGGTTTCCACCTTCTTTCTGTCAGCCTGAGCAGAGGAAACAGAATGTGTGGGTGTGCAGAGCCAATTAAGAAGTGATGTACAGGAGCTCAGACAGGAAAAGTAATAAACTGCATCACAAGGTGAGCAAACAGCCGGTAAATCGGTGACACATTGGTACATATCAGATCTAAACATATTTACTCATCAGTTCTATATAACCCATCTGTCAGAATATTGATTTGGTGCAATCATTAGTCAGTTATCATGGTCTCTATTTGAATTTTTTGGCATTGTTTAAATATTAATGGGGCAGGACTTGTGGTTAAGTCATGCTGATTGGTTGTTTGTAAAACTGGAAGAGTTCCTGGTTAAGCAAAGCAAAATGAACGAAAAGAAGCAGCTTTGACGCTGCTTTAAAATCGCTGTTTCTAAACTCCCAGCACAAAAAACGCTGTGGAAATCCCCACAACGCAGCAATTCACATATGTAGCTATTAATCTCACAGAGCACTGTATTAAACGACACTTCTTCTGGTCATTAAGTGCTGCTTTTTACTTCATGCAGCCTCTTTCCTCACCCCCGAAGGGATTAAAGGCACACTTGGCAGCACTGGCTTGCTTTTAGCACCCCTTAGTGTCCATTTAGCAGAACAAAAAGCGAAAATGATCTCCTCTCTGTGTGTTTGTCTTTTTAACGTGTGTGTGCACGGCTCTGTGTGTCTTTTTGACATGCATGCCAAGGGGTGAGAGGCGGAAAAGGAGGGCGGGAGGGTATGCTGACATACACACAGCACAGGGGCAAAATGATGCTCTTGGTTCTAAAATAAATGTTCACACACACAAAACACTCACTGGACTGCAAACAACTATTCAAAACAGACTAAAGAGGAGTGTAAACATATGAAAAGGGTCCTCACATCTACACAGAAAGCTGCATGTAGACAGGAAATCTTTACCTTGAATTTAGTTGTGGCAACAAACACTACAGGTCAAATCAGTCTGGGACCTTTCATCAACAGAAACATAAAAACTGTGCTTAACGCCTTAATCTAACTGCTGAAATGTCTCCTCAGCCTCCATTAGTGTCTACACGAGCCGATTGTCACTAAATCAAACAAATAAGCTGTTTTCATGATCTAAGACATGCAGGAAATGTGCTAGAAGTAGACTGCAGCGCCAGGCATGTCAGCTCCACTTTTTGTATATCCAACAGGTGGTGAACCACCACTCTGAAGATGCAAGTGCGACATTCAGTCCACAGAGTGCGTTGGAGACCTAAATGATATTTCATTACACTGTAAAGGGTCATCTTAGCACACTGGCTCAAAAAGATGATTTTACAACTATGAAAAATTTGCATAGTATGGCTTTAGATTATGGCAAACTCTAGCAAAATAAAACTGTTAATGTTAATGCTTGTGGTCTAAGGAGGTCAAATGGGTCCCAGAGATTTAAACCCAGTGGGATTTTTAAATCTGGGACTCTCCACCATTTGTCCTTAGAACTGAAGAAGCCTCTCGGATGAGAGGTGAAACGTCTTCAAGCAACTCAAAGAAGTCCAGACGCTTTTCTTTCAAAGCTCCTTAGACTACAATGACCTGGAAGACTGAGAACCTTCACAGACTTAATGCTTGTGACGTGGACACCTTCTGGCGCTGATCAGTGATGACACTCACAGCCAAAGCAGCGGTGAAAGGCAGACATCTTGGTAAAGTCCTGAAGAGGCTGAAAGGAGACAATGGCTGAGGACCAAGCGATTGTATCTCCTGGTCACTTTTCTACTTCCTAGAAATTTCCCCGAACTCCTTTGGTAGAAAAACAGCTATTTAAGACTTTTACCCTGTAATAAGTTGTTTTTACTGTTATAATTTACTATAAGGCCAGAAACCACAATAACCACAGTAGACTTTTGCAGAGATGACAGTTTTTAACTGTATTACAACTGATCTGCAAAAAATCACCAAAATCAAGTTTAATAATTACTGTTTTAGAGTATTTTTGCATCTAAAGCCTGATAGCTGCAGCTCTGATCTCAGCGCCTTTCTTTTAAATCTCCAGTTTTTCCAGCAGCAGCTTTTAAAGTTATTCATATCACCAAAGGAAACGAGCTAAAAATAAACGCTGTGCTTCTTATGCCACAGCTGACTACAAACTACGATCCTGCCAGAAAAAACGCACGTCCTGACCCGAGCCTCTGTGAGACACTCCAGTCGGTGCCCAGCTTCCACAACTCCTCAAATCTCTCAAATCAACCCAGCTTTGAGGAGTCGATATGGAAGTGATGCTATAAATACTGCAGGAAAACAACAGCTAAAAGCAATCAAAGGACACAACTCCAGGTAAAATGCACTGTAATGTGTGCTGTTTTAGTAAAAGGAATTAGTTTGGCTTCAGTTTTAATTTAGTCAAATATTAGTCATGGATTCCTGCTGAGTGAGCAGGACCAGTGTGAGTTAGTTTGGTCTTTTCAGGCTAAATTTCTTCCAGTGACTGAATTTATTAGTGCTCTGATTTATTGATCTCTCCTGTAGGGAATTATCACATTCCAGCATCAAGCTCCTGCCAGCATTCAGACAAATCAAATAAGCTGGAAACTGTAGATGAAGTCCATCTATGATGCATGCTCTGCAGTCCAAAACCATCCCAGAAGATAAGATTTGAAGGTGTCTTTTTGAAAAGTTTGTTTCCTGTTGCTTTAACGGACGGTCAGGAAAATGCTTGAAGTTTTTCGTTTCTTTTGTTCAGTCCTCTGTGGGAATCTGTTGACCACCCACGGTCCATTAAAAGTGAAAAAGCTGCAATTTTTTTTTCTTTTTATTCCACCTTATTTAACATTTTATTTTCTCTCCCTGGTGGAAGCTCACAGTCTCACAACGTCCCACATGTGTGCAGTTTTTAAATGACTACTCTGAGTTGGAGTGGCGGGCTCCTCTGATGTTTGCTTTGTGTTTTCTTTTCTGTAAGAGGCGGAGTGGACCGGTAGCTGCAGATTGTCCCTTTGTCAGAGGGTTTGAGTTTGATCCCCTCATAGCCGGTCTGCTCATATCGAGTACACCTCCCTGCTTCAGCTCTTTGTTCAAACTGGTTTATAAAAGTGGATTTAGTCAGATTTACAACTGAAAACAGGCAGTTTAGAGTTTATTTTCAACAAGCTGCACTCTGGTGCTGCAGCTGAGGAAGTTATCTCATAGCTAACCCAACAACATCGCCCACAACAAGGTTACTTTTTTTTTATTTTTTTTTATTGTGAACTCATCCTGGTTAGGAATTCAGAATTTCATGTAAAACTATGAAAGCACATGACCACTGTGCCACACTGACCCCTAGTGGACTGGTATCTTACTGCAGGTAAAAAAGGACTCGAGCAGCATGAGTCACGGTTGTATCTTTCATCAGTCTTTTGACCTTTCAAAACATTTAAGTTCATTTTATTTATTAACAGTTTGTAAAAAAATAATCTAAATAGTAAAAAACTGTTTGTTGAATGTGCATCTATAAATATTACAGCTGACTGACCTCAGCAAGCACAAAAACTCAAGCAAGGGTGTTGCAATAATGCATAAAATCAAATGTCATTTTATTTTCCAGGTTTGACCAAATTTCACCTATTTCTCAACAAAATGATCATAACAGGAAAGGAATTGAATCCAGGGAATGCCAGACCTTCAATTAATAATGTTAAGTTTTATTGATTGTAATAATTCAGATTTTGTGATTTCAATTCTTGCTTTGTGTTTTTATCATACCTTATTCGATTCAATTTCAAGAACATTGAGTTATTTTTTTCACTTGTGATATAAAAGGCTGAGTTGAGCTGAAAGATTATGTTAAAAAAATCTGTTTAGTAGACCAACATTACACAACTGATTTGTTGCTTTAGAAAATATCCGTATGACTTATATTTATGTTTATTTTCCAAATTTGTGTTTATCCGATGTAGATGAACAGTTTAAAATCTTTATTTTTGTGAATCTGTGCTGCTGGGACACTAGCATTTGCACACTCAAGGACAAAAATGCATTTTTTATTCAAATAAAATACAATCGCATATAAAATCTAAATATCTATCATTTGCATTTTAATTTATCAAAGTGTGTTTTTGTGTGTAATGTGAGTTTTGCAAAGACTATTTTCCAAACTATAAAAAAATGAACATAAGTCAAAAATAACTGTTTATTTGAATATAATATAAAAGCATTTGATACACAAAAGTAAAAAAGGAACAGCGGTTGAAATAGTCGCTGTGGCACTTCATTACATATTAAAGGGTCCAATGTTTGGATGAACTTTTCTGCTGATGTTTCACATTAAGCTATGGATGTGTGATAATTAGGAATAATGTGATTCTAACATATAATAACTATCAGCCATAATTCTGTCTGTAACACTGAACTGAATAACACATAAATGCTGTTTTTTCATATGTAGCAGCAGGAATATAGTGGTTATGCTGCATCATTTCATTTAAAATCCAACATAAGCAGGTTTATTGTTCAGAGGCAGCAAAGGCACCATGGAAACCATACGCCATGTTTACAGGAACACCGGCTCTTCCCAGCTCAACAAATGTTTTAGCATCCAGAATAAGAAGGAATGTCCCTTTGTCCTGCAGGGGGAAAAGTATGATATATGCATTTCCATTCCAACATATATTTACTTATTTACTGAGTAAACGTGTCTCAGGGTAAGCCTGACTGAGCGATAACAGGTAAATTTCAGGAGGTTAAGGTTTAATGAGTCCAGTTAGTATTTATGTGGATGAACAAAAACAAGATTCAAAATGTTGGATTCACATTCTAATTAAATTTAATAACACTTTATCCTGCCTCAGATTGTCACTCTAAAAACAAAAATTCATAATGTTTTAATCAATAATATTGATCATGGGGTTTGGGTTAGGGTTAATAAAATACACAGAATAACTTAAATCTAAGCTTAAAAGACTGAAACATAAATTATTATAATTGATAGCAACAAACATGGATTTGAGTAGGATACGATTATTCTGACATGATCCAGTCTGCAGACAGGAAGTTACCTGCGAGGGGGTGAGGACCACAGACAAAATGACACCATCATCCTCCTCCACAGCATCAGGGGATGCAATAAACACAGGTTCTGATGGGTAGAAGCCCTTCTGGTGCCAAGCCTGCAGGGATCCATACACCAAATACACCTTTTAGTTAACTAATCACACACACACACACACACACACACACACACACACACACACACACACACACACTCACACACACACACACACACACACACACACACACACACACACACACACACACACACACACACACACACACACACACACACACACACACACACACACACACACACACCTTAAGTGTCTTGTCCTTTAAGTCCATCTTGAGCAGTGAGTCTCCCACCAAGTGTCTGAAGCCACAGCCATAGAAATAGCGGTACGATCGGGTGTTAACTCGGCTGTAGTTGATCTGAGGGAACTCCAGACCGCCAAAGTCATAAAGGTCGTCTCCATGGAGATCCTCATGTTGGCAGAACACCTGTTGACAAAGACAGAACCAATATGGTTACTTAATGTTAGCCGAGCTGCTCCTGTTTAATTTATTCCAAACGTCCATCCATTTTCGTCTGCTTTTCCAGAATCGGGTCACGAAGGCTGCAACCTAAGCAAAGAGGCCAAAGTTTCCTCTTGCAACTTGGCCCACTCTTCTTGAGCCAGCTCCTCTGGGGGAATCCAAAGGTGTTCACTGGTCAGATGAGAGATAGTCCCTCCATCATGTCCTGGGTCTTCCTTTAGGTCTCCTCCTGGTTGGCTGTGCCTGGAAAACCTCACTAGGTAGGCACCCTTACCAGATGCACTAGCCACCTCAAAAGGCTCCTCTCGATGATTCCAAACGTATGATCTTATGAGAGTCTCAATGCTAACTCACCTTCTCTGGGCTTATTTTGACACAGGTTGCTTCACTGGAGGCTCTAGTGTTCAAGTTCTGACCCATTGGGGTTTCACTGGTCACATTCAAGGGCAGAACAAAACGCCGAGGGAATGCCTTCTCTATGGAGTTGTAGAACTGGGAGGAACATAGTAAGGTCAAGCTTTAGAAATCCCTAAAGAATGTTTTAGGATGATTAATTCATAATAACACTGACTTCATCAAGCGCCTTTCCAGACTTGCGTAGGTTCTGGATGAGGTAATTGTTGATGACTTCGCCACCATCTGAGCAGCACATATCAAGCACCAGGAAACCATCATCCTCAAAGGCGTTGATCTGATGGAAGGTGGAGAAGGCTTTGGCATGGTACTTTACAGGGACAACCTGCAAAACAACAAACATAACTGGTCCAGCAGGAGTTGCTGGGTTGGATTTGATCATTTCCTGTTGTTGGTTTAAAAATCATCTCACCTCGCCTGTATGCTTGTTAACAAGATGGAAGACCGTTTCCTGTTTGGGATCCCAGTAGATGCCCTTACTCAGAGCCGTTCCTCTAAGCTTGCAGGTGACAATCTTCAGGAGGTCCATCTTAATTGGCTGCTCGATGAACACCACGTAGTTCTCGGACATGCCTGGAAGCAAAGAACAGGGTAGAGGATGGGAATGGTGAACTTAGAGAAACAATTCTCAACTAATGAGCAGGTAACGATCAGAAGTGGTTTACCAAAGCTGTGGTAGTAGGAGGGATGGGACTTGTTTGTAGGTGCTAGAGAGCAGAGAACTTTGGCTCCATGTAGAGTGTCTTTGCTTTCAGCCTTCTCAGGAGGGACCACGATGATGTTGTACAAAGCTCCTAAAAAACATGCTTTAGATATTTTCTCTGAGATAACAATCAGCTAGGTTAATGTTTACAGCTGGTGAACAGTTTTGTTTAACATAATTGGAGTCCACTGGTGTAAATGAAGTTTCCTCTCTTTTACAGGTGCTGGCCAGTAAATTAGAATATCATCAAAAGGTTGAAAATATTTCAGTAATTCCATTCAAAACGTGAAACTTGTACATTATATTCATGCAATGCACACAGACCAATGTATTTCCAATGTTCATTACATTTAAATTTGATATTCATAAGTGACAACTAATGAAAACATCAAATCTGGTATCTCAGAAAATTAGAATATTCTAAAGGCCAATGAAAAAATGTTTGTTTCTCTAATGTTGGCCAACTGAAAAGAATGAACATGAAAAGAATGTGCATGTATAGCACTCAATACTTAGTCGGGGCTCCTTTTGCCTCAATAACTGCAGTAATGCGGCGTGGCATGGACTCGATCAGTCTGTGGCACTGCTCAGGTGTTATGAGAGCCCAGGTTGCTCTGATAGTCGTCTTCAGCTCCTCTGCATTGTTGGGTCTAGCGTATTGCATCCTCCGCTTCACAATACCCCATAGATTTTCTATGGGGTTAAGGTCAGGCGAGTTTGCTGGCCAATCAAGGACAGGGATACCATGGTCCTTGAACCAGGTGCTGGTGGTTTTGGCACTGTGTGCAGGTGCCAAGTCCTGTTGAAAGGTGAAGTCTGCATCCCCATAAAGTTGGTCAGCAGCAGGAAGCATGAAGTGCTCTAAAACTTCCTGGTAGACGGCTGCATTGACCCTGGACCTCAGGAAACAGAGTGGGCCAACACCGGCAGATGACATGGCACCCCACACCATCACTGACGGTGGAAACTTTACACTGGACCTCATGCAACGTGGATTCTGTGCTTCTCCGCTCTTCCTCCAGACTCTGGGTCCTTGATTTCCAAAGGAAATGCAGAACTTGCTTTCATCAGAAAACATAACTTTGGACCACTCAGCATCAGTCCAGTCCTTTTTGTCCTTGGCCCAGGCGAGACGCTTCTTGCGCTGTTTCTTGTTCAAGAGTGGCTTGACACACGGAATGCGACACCTGAATCCCATGTCTTTCATGAGTCTCCTCGTGGTGGTTCTTGAAGCGCTGACTCCAGCTGCAGTCCACTCTTTGTGGATCTCCCCCACATTTTTGAATGGGTTTGTCGTCACAATTCTCTGCAGGGTGCGGTTATCCCTAGAGCTTGTACACTGTTTTCTACCACATTTTTTCCGTCCCTTCGCCTGTCTGTTAATGTGCTTGGACACAGAGCTCTGCGAACAGCCAGCTTCTTTAGCAATCACCTTTTGTGTCTTGCCCTCCTTGTGCAAGGTGTCAATGATTGTCTTTTGGACAGCTGTTAAGTCAGAAGTCTTCCCCATGATTGTGGTGCCTTCAAAACAAGACTGAGGGACCTTTTAAAGGCCTTTGCAGGTGTTTTGAGTAAATCAGCTGATTAGAGTGGCAGCAGGTGTCTTCTATATTCAGCCTTTTCAGAATATTCTAATTTTTTGAGATACCAAATTTGGAGTTTTCATTAGTTGTCACTTATGAATATCAAATTTAAACGTAATAAACATCGGAAATACATTGGTCTGTGTGCATTGCATGAATATAATGTACAAGTTTCACGTTTTGAATGGAATTACTGAAATATTTTCAACCTTTTGATGATATTCTAATTTACTGGCCAGCACCTGTATGTTCCACCTCAATCTTCTTAATGCTGCATTTTAATATTATCTAAACGTTTAACTTTTTATTGACTGAGGAATGGCTTTGACAAACTAGAACTGCTTATTTCTCAGCATTAATTGAGGAGAATAAGCATAATCCTAAATTTCTTTTCAGTACAGTTGCTAAACTTACACAGAATCATAGCTCTGAGCCATCTATTCCCTTAGCCCTCAGCAGCAATGACTTCATGGGATTTTTTACAAGTAAAATAAATTCTATTAGAAACAAAATCTTTACCATCCTCCCTAACGCAATTTCTTCTTCCTCAGTAAGTGAGGCAGCATCAGAGGTGACTGTAGAACAGTGGCGGCTGGCCAGTAGAGGGCGATAGGGTGCCGCCCTCCCAGTTTTTCCGTGTTTTTAATTTTTATTTAAAAAAATAAATAAATAAAATTAACAATAATTACATTTTCTAAGTTAATTGTGTGTTTTGTAACAAACATAAATCATATATATATATATCTATATTGGTCTCTGCCGAGCTCTGCCGAGCGGTGGAGGCTGTGTGCTGTTTTTCAATCGCCCAAACAGGACGAGACCAGCTGTCCAATTGCTGACAAGAATATCAAAGGGTAGGAATGGGAATGTATCCAATCAGCGTCGACGTTGTTTCAGAACATTTCAGAAGCATGATGGGCGATGGAGCTACCGCCAAAGGATTCGTTGGTGTTCGGTAGAACTCGGCAGAGTCGTTTTTGGTCGTGACGCATATGTAACATGGACGCCGCCGGTGACTACAACCAGCATGGATACCGGATCTCAGCAGCCACTGAATTCAGTTCGGTCTCTTCTCCAGTATCCGTTCGAGAGGAGAACTATGGTGGAAAAACTTAATGTCAAAGAGCTTGGACCAGATCAGCCCGACGTAAAGATAAGCCAGCAGGAGAAGGAGAAGGGTAAACTGTACACACTAGGCTTTTCCCGAAATTGGTACACCAGGAAGCAGTGGCTAGCTGGATGCAATCACGCTAATGCGTTATTTTGCTTTCCGTGTTTGTTATTCAAAACGGCTGGGACAGATAAGGCATGGATGAGTCAGGAGTTACAGACATGAAACATTTTTCTGAGAAGGTGAAGAAACACGAGTCATCCCGGGCACACATGGACAACAACACGGTGAAGCTAGCCATGCTAGGCAGCAGAGCTAACGTTGCCATGCAGGGAACAACAGCAGCTGGGTGCAGAGGTAAGCTGTACATTACATTTCTGTGAACAAGACAATCAGAATCAGAAATCCTTGGTTGTCCCACAAACCGGGACATTTGTTTAATAACATGTTTAATGTGCAATAACTGTAAAAACTAATTTCAACACACATACTTATTATACATATTTAATCACGTAAATGTGTATTTCATGTAAATTTGTACATACATCAATCTGATTCCATTTTACTTGTTACACTTCTGCTGCAGCAAACAAATTTCCCAGCTTTTGGGACAATTAAACATTTCTGATTCTCAATTAGATGTTTTTACCTCAAATGTAAAAACATCTGATTGAGAATCAGAAATGTTTTATTGTCCCAAAAACTGGGAAATATGACATTTGTAAGAGGATACTGATGACATTATTTCCTATGAAAGTGTTTCCTATGTACTTATCTGTTGTTTTTTATTTATCTTATGACAGGTTTTTCACACCATCCTGAGCCATGCAAAAGAAGATTCTTGTCACCACACCCATGACCACAGCCGAATCAGAAAGGTGCTTTTCTACTTTAAAGAGGATTAAGACTTTCCTTGAGGAACACCATGACACAGGATGGGCTGAATGCTCTTGCCATGCTCTCCATGGAAAAAAAAGCTTGTCACAAACATTCCTGACTTCAACAAAAAGCTAATCGAGAGCTTTGCCACTCAGAAGGACAGAAGGGCAAAATTTCTGTACAAATGAGGTATCACACACACACAAATGCATCCACTTGATCTTTGTATAAAGTTGACCTTGGCACAACACTCCAGAAATATTTAACAGTGTAAATTTCTGGCATTTTGTCTAAGTGGTGTTTACTACCATAACTGTAACAGTAACCTGCTCGTAATTTTTGGTGTTCACTCAAATGTTGAAATTAAACAAAATGTTTTTGTTACTTGCCTCTTGCATTGCCTATTTACCATTTATGGTTGTGTTATTTTATGTGCAATTTAATGCAGTATTTTTCAACCTTGGTCTGCAAGGCAGCGTGCCAATAGTCAGACACACCTGGATTAATCAGTTTGTCCAATGATGTAAGACAGGAAATAAAAGAGCTGTGCTTAATTCAGGAAATAGTGAAGTTGTGCACAAAGCTCAGAAAGCACAAGTTTGTTTAAAACTAAAAAAATAGCACAGCCCCACCAAAAATATTTTTCACCAGCCGCCACTGCTGTAGAACCTCATCTGTGCTTGAACTGTTTTGATCCAGTTGAGCTTTCAGATTTATCAAAAATATTAACTTCATCTAAACCTTCCACTTGCATTTTGGATCCAATCCCAACCAAATTAATTAAAGAAGCATTTCCTTTGGTTACTGCCCCATTCTAGATATAATCCATCTATCCTTAGTAAATGGGTATGTACCACAGGATTTTAAGGTTGCTGTAATCAAACCTTCACTTAAGAAGCCTTCTCTGGATCCAGATGACCCAATGAATTATAGACCAATATCTAACCTTCCATTTTTATCCAAAGTCCTGGAGAAAATAGTGGCCATCCAAGTATGAGCATTTAAACACTAATGCTCTGTTTGAGGAATTTCAGTCTGGTTTTAGAGAGTATCACAGCACTGAAACTGCATTAGTGAGAGTTACAAATGATATTCTCATGGCCTCAGATAAGAATCTTGTGTCTGTTCTAGTCTTGTTAGATCTCAGTGCTGCCTTTGACACAGTTGATCACAATGTTCTTGTAGAAAGACTTGAACATGTTGTAGGGATCAAAGGAACAGCGCTAGGCTGGTTTAAATCCTACCTGTCTGACAGATTTCATTTTGTAAACGTACATGACAAATCTTCTTCATACTCCAGGGTTACTTGTGGAGTACCACAGGGTTCAGTGCTTGGACCAATTCTTTTTACTATGTAAATGCTCCCAATTGGTAAAATCATTAGACAGCATGGGATAAACTTCCACTGTTATGCTGACGATACTCAGTTATATTTATCCATTAACCCTGATGAACCTAATCGGTTGGGTAGATTACAGGCTTGTCTTGAGGACATAAAAATTGGATGACTCTAAACTTTTTGCTTTTAAATCAAGACAAGATGGAAGTTCTCATCTTTGGACCAGAAATCCAGAAAAGGAAATTGCTTAGTCAATCACCTGACATGAATGGCATTACATTAATCTCCGAGAACAAAGTAAGGGACCTTGGTATTATCTTTGACCAGGACATGTCATTCAAATCCCAGGTTAAACAGGTTTGTAGGATTTCCTTTTTCCACCTTCGGAATATTGCTAAGATTAGAAGCATCCTTTCCAGGAGTGACGCTGAAAAACTAGTTCATGCATTTATTACATCAAGACTGGATTACTGTAATTCATTACTCTCAAGAAGTCCACAGAATGTAGTTAAAAGTCTTTAGCTTGTCTAAAAGGCTGCAGCTAGAGTTCTGATGAGAATTAAAAAGAAAGATCATATCTCTCCTGTCTTAGCTTCCCTACATTGGCTACCTGTTAAATTCAGAATAGATTTTAAGATCCTTCTTGTCACATTTAAAGCTCTTAATAATCAAGCTCCATCATACATCAGTGATCTGATTGTTCCATACGTTCCTAACCGAGCGCTTCGCTTTCAGACCGCAGGTTTACTGGTGGTTCCCAGAATATCTAAAATTAGGATGGGAGGCAGATCTTTTAGTTATCAGGCTCCTCTCCTGTGGTACCAGCTCCCAGCTTTAGTCCGTGAGGCAGGCACCTTTTCTACTTTTAAGACTAGGCTTAAAACATTTTTATTTGATAGGGCCTATGGTTAAAATCGGATGTTAGCCTAAATCTGTGGGGGAGTAGAGGGAGATGGAGTGTACAGTCGGTAAAGATGGCTCTCCCTTGCCCTGCCTCCAACATGCCTCCATCTAAATAGGACAGATTATCCAGAGTTATCTCTTTAGTTATGCTGCTATAGGCTTAGACTGCTGGAGGATACACTGACCACTTTTCACACTCTACTACTTTCTTCTACAATCTGCTCTTTAACTGTATTATTTTCTGCAATTTCAGCTGTTAACTTTATTTTCTCTCTAAGTGTTTTTCTCCCCAGAAGAAGCAACAATGATGTTCTGCTGAGCTGTGGTGGCATCATGGAGGGGGCCATCGTCTAGCACAGTGGTTCCCAAACTTATTTAGCCGCGCACCCCCTTCTATGTCCCGACCATGTCGACGCACCCCCCCACCCCCACCCCCCCCACATCGGGGCATGGCTCTCTCTCTCTCTCTCTCTCTCTCTCTCTCTCTCTCTCTCTCTCTCTCTCTCTATATATATATATATATATATATATATATATATATATATATATATATATATATATATATATATATATATATCAGATGTCAAGCTAAACAGACAGGGTTAAAAAAAATTCCCCATCAATTTCATTTTTTTAAATAGTAAATAATAAACATTCGATACCATTACAATTTCCTTTGATTTCATTTTAAATAAATATTTGGAGTGCCCAGGTAGCACATAAACAATGCAATTTAACGGTTTTCTTAAAGTAGGAACGTTTAACCTGCGGCCAGAGCGCTCTACTTCCTTCTGCTCTGCGTAAACCTGAACTGATCACCTACTTGTGCGTAATCAAATGTCAATAGGGGACAAGATATAGCCATGATGTTCACTTTTACCTCAGACCGACTTATTGCTGTTTTATGGTGTGGCTGAATCTGCGATCCGCTGCCACGCTGACTGGAATAACAAATGCTGCAGTAACATGAGATGTGGTCAGGTTCATGAGGAGTCACTGGCTGTAGCGGACCCGACTCATCCCAGAAGCTAATATCTTAATTTGACCTTGAATGAAAAATAACCTCTTAAAAGTTTTTATCATGGTGGAGGCAGCGTTCATTTCTGCCTTCAGTCTGACGGCGCGCCGGAGTTAAAGCAGCGTGTGTGCTTATTGAATCTGTGTGTGTGTGCTCGTGCACGCGGCACAGCCGCTCAAGTCACCGCGTCTCGTTATTGGCGCTATTTAAACTTCTGCCCAGCCCAGATGTGCTCACATGTGCACCCGTGAGCCGTGGTTCAGCCGGAATGCGTCTGACCTCTGACAGACGCACTCTGAACTTCAGATCTTCAGCGCGCTGTCAATAGCCTGAATGGGAATCATTTCTTGTTATTTAGTTACATCCACAATGTTCTGTGTGTGAGGTTTACAACGTCAGAACACCTGCATGAGACAGGGTGTTAATTACAATCTGCCAGAATGACTCGCCACCTTCAGATTCGTCCAACACCGTTAAAAATGATCAAATACGGAACATATCGGCGTGCGCAGGCCAGAGTGCTGAAGCTCGGCGCATTGTTATTATGAAGCTAGGGCACATGTGGAGGACGCGCGCGCGTGTGCAAAAATATACTTGTTTTCAATTACATTTATTGGGCCCACTTACTTTTTCTTTGGCCCACCCACAAATGAGTTTCTACGCTAATGGTGACACATGACAGACTTCTCTGAGCTCCGCAGCCATTACACTTTTCACCTCGCGCACCCCCTAGCGGCAGCTCGGGTGCGCGCACCACACTTTGGGAATCCCTGGTCTAGCACACTGCTGCTAACCACCTAAACATTCTCCCTGTCCTGATAATAACTTTTTGCTTTCCTTGACGTTGGATGTGCTACTGCTAGTTTATCCGTTTAATTATAGATCCAATAGGATAAATACAATAAAGTTTATCTCTCACCAAATAGAATATTTACTAAGAAATCACAATATAACTATAGACACATTACTTTGTCTTTGTGTGTGTGTGTGTGTGTGTGTGTGTGTGTGTGTGTGTGTGTGTGTGTGTGTGTGTGTGTGTGTGTGTGTGTGTGTGTGTGTGTGTGTGTGTGTGTGTGTGTGTGTGTGTGTGTGTGTGCGTGCCTGCTCTGTCTTCTCAATCCCCAGTGAGTCGTGGAGGATGGCTGCTTATACTGAGCCAGGATCTTCTGGAGGTTTCTTCCTGTTAAAAGGGAGTTTTCCTCTCCACTGTCGCTTTATGCTTGCTTAGTATGAGGACTGCTGTAAAGACACTGACACTAGTCAGTGACTTGATGCAATTTGCTGGGTCCCTTATATAGGAAACATTATTTCTGATTGGCTTAATGAACTGACCTGAATTAGAATGTTTATTACGTGAAGTGCCTTGAGACGACTCTTGTCGTGATTTGGCGCTATATAAATAAAATTGAATTTAATTTAATTGAATGGTCCGGTCTAACCTTTGCTTCCATAGGAGTTTCCCATATTGTAGGTGGTACCATCTGGATCGTAGTGTGGGTGAGCAGTGGCTCCGTTCACAGCAATGAACTTACTCCAATCAACCTGCAAAACCAAGAGGAACATGTCTGGTTTCCTCCTCTCATTTTAGGGAAACTTGGAGAGTTAACTGTTATAAAACATCCCAAAGTGCAGTCTGAGACTCAACCAGGTCATATTCAGAGCTTTAGCTAAAGCATTTATGAGTCATCATCATTTCTTTATAAAGCACCTTCCTACAATAATCATACCCAAAGTGCTGTGCACAATAGAGTAAAACACACAATTAGGTACAGAAAAAAAGGCATCAGTTAAAACATTCTCAATACAGAAGAGATTAAAATACAACATAAAACTGTTTTATATCCAAACAGTAGCAGTGACAGAATCCAAAATGCATTAAAAATGAAGACATTCCAACTCCTTTAGAAAAGTTTAATAGAAGTGGGTGGGTCTTTTATCTACTCTTAAAAACTCCCAACAATGGAGCTTGCCTGACCACCAGCGGGAGGTCGTTTCATAATTAGCAGCTGTGGCTACATTGTAGCTCATCACTACCAGCATGTGAATGGATGATGACAGTGTTGTAAAGTGCCTTGGGGGGTTGTGGAATTCTAAGAAGGCACTATGCAAATACAGATCATTTACCATTTGCCTTACTTTTTCTGGCAAATTTGGACAAACTGTAATCTAGAGACTGAGGCTTGATTAATTCCAGCAAAGATTTACCGTAATCCAGACGAGAGGGAATAAACACATGGGTTACTGTATCTAAGTGGTCATGTGACATAAATGGTTAAGCCTTGCAATTTGATGCAGGTGGAAAAAGCATGATCTAATAGCAGAATTTATCTGGGTATCAGATTTTTATTGGTTGAGTTCTTTTCCATCTCATCCTTAAACTCACTTGTAAACTTGACTAGAAATGACAGCTAACAGTTGAACTACATGGCAAATGACAGCAAAAACACACCCTTAATGTTTCATAACTTCCACTAACAGTGATTTATGTCACCATTCTCTTCTTTGTACCTTTTCCGATGACTCCATGTTGTCTAGGTTGACTTTGTGCATGAAATTTGTCTCTGTACTGACATAGTAGTCCCCTTCGTATTTGACAAAGTTCACACTTGCATTGTCTGTGGGTTCTGCAACAAGAAACAAAACTTTTTCTTTGGTTTTTCATTCTCAAACTCCATTTTAGGCTTGAGTGTTTCTCCAAAATGCTTTGTAGGTATGTGAAGCATCTGCTCCCCTCCCCAGTTCTCCCACTACATTCCATCATTACGTAACATTGGCACAGATAGAGGACCAAAGAGTTCCTACACAGCGTGCATACAGACTAATCTTTCACTGATTGTCTAGTTCTTCTCAAATAACCAAATGTATTTTACTTCAACATAAAATCTTTGTTTCATCCAGAGTTTGAAGATTTAAAACAATGTATTTCCACTCAGAACCAAGCATGTCTCCTTTTCTATTTGCCCAATAACCTTGGATCTGCTCACCCATCATCTCAAAGCGAGAGAGGAATCTTTGGAAGAAGTTTTTACACGGGTCAGGCATGGCGAGGGTACCAAACTCAGAAATCATGATGCGGTCCCGTTCTCTGTTCCTCCTGTAGGTGTCGCTCTGCAGGAACCGACTCATGTAGGTCACCTGACCTTTCTGGATCTTAAAGCGGTGCAGCATGGCCATCCCATCAAACCAGTGGTTGTAGCTGCCAGAAACACACACACTAAGACTTTGTGTTTGAAAGTGTGTTTTAGCACCAACCTACTTTCGAACTTACTGTGTGTTACCAAATTCAAACCTCCCTGGTCCATTACGGAGGAAGTTTCCATTGATCCAGGAAGGGATGGCACCATGCACTGTGGTCACCATCGGCTCGGGGGTTTCCTCCACAGTACAAATTAGAGGAGCAATCGACTCTAGTCCTGCTTGTGGTTTCATTAAACCTTTTTTGGCCTTGCCACCATCAGCAAGTTTGGATTTATCTGTAAGAAACACAGTAAAAAACACCATCAAACTTAAACTTCTGTCTGTTGCCTCTATAATGCAACCTTGGTCCTGGAGAGCCCATATCCAGCGTGTTTTATTTGTTTCTCTGCTCCAACACACCACAACATTATTGATAGGGGATCCTGAGGATCAGGGTTGGGCACTATTAATGTGGTTTCAGGTTGGGCCACTCGACGTTGGATGCCATCAGCCATCTGGATTTGGAAATCAGGTGGGCCCTGGTGAACTGGGAGTTGGTGGTTGCAGTGTTCCTTGACATAACGCCTAGTACATGTTATGAAGGGATGGACTTCTGATCTCCCTACATAAGGCTAGAGTGCTGGGGAGGATGCTGTGGTGGATAAGTAATTTCCTGAGTGATTGAACAATTCAGGTGAGGGTCAGTTCTGCCCTGTCTGCCTCAGTAGGGGTGGGAAATGGTGTCCCACAGAGCAATGTGCTTAGTGCCATGCTTTTTAACGTTTTAATAAGAGGTTTGTTCGATTCCCTGGGTGCTGGTGTTGGGAGGTTCTTGTTGGTGGACGATACAGTGCTTTGAAAGAGGGGCCGAAATCTCCGGCATGTTTTTGCCATATGCAAGTAGGTCTGAATGGGGTAGTGGCATGGTCGAGGTGTTGAGTTTAAGCTCTCCTTCACTAAGATGAAATATATGATGTTCGGCTAAAAGAGCAAGCTACCTGTTGGGGGGCTGTTGCTTGACTCGGTGGCGCTAGAGAAGATGTCTTCAATCTGGTATTTGGGGATGTGGCTGGATGAGTGGCTGGCTTGGCGTGTTCACATCAACGGCCTGATGGCTAAGTGTGGTCGTGTCCTGAATGACCGGAGGTGTTTAGCAGGCACTGATTGGAAAACGGAGAGGGGAACCTTGATGATCCCAGCTGGGATTTCACCTTGGTTGCCGGATTTCTGATCATATCTCTGTGTTTACGACTGAGCTGGTGGCTATTGAGCGAGCTCTATGTTGGCTGGAGGCATGGACGTAGTTTGACTTTTAGTGATGTGACATTCACGAACGAATCAAATCTTTTGAACGGGTTTTCAAAGTGAATGATGAGAGCCGAGTCCCAGCAGAGTAACAAACCTCCCCAGAAGTCGGTCAAACTCACCCGCTCAAACCCCACCCTCTGCTGTGACGGACGTAGGAGGAACCATAGATATGTACATAAACACGTGTTTATATACATATCTATGGGAGGAACACTAACCAACCCTGTGCGCCCTCACGGACACCGCAGAAAAAGTTGCTCAAACGTTGATTTGTTTGGTCTTACAGCATGCTGTCAGTTTCCAAGCAAAAGTCAACTGACCTTCTTTGCTCTCCCTTATTTCCTCTGCAGGTTCGCCAAAATAAAAGCATGCCATATAAAACTATAAAAATAAAAACATGCAAGAACAATCACTTATTTACAGAGCCTTTCCACAGTTACTTACACAACCAGCGTTAGGACGGGGGGGGGGGGGGGGGGGGGGACTTTACAGTAAGTATACAAAAGATATGTATAAAACTGTAGCCTGGAGGTTCTTTTATGCAATGTCAGTAACGTGGATCTGTCAGGTACACAGGTGGCAGGAACGGCCAATCACACGTTAGCAAGTATCAGGAGAGCCAATAGATGAGCTTATGGTCGGTTCTAATGGGGGGAAAAGCTTCAACACAAGCGGTTGCTTTCTGCTCAACCAGTGTCTGTTTAATACAGCATAATATTGTTTTCAGATGGTAAAATGTGCAGGGAACACAAATTGACTTTGGAAAAAGTCAGTCCTCCAAAGGCGGGTTTAATGGACCGGTTGACTCGCTGCTCGGAGGTGTGTGGTTGCTTTTCTTTGAGTGCCTGCTCATGTCGGGGCGGACGGTGGAGTTGTCAGACAAAGAGGCGAAGCATGCTCTCCTACAAGCTGACGTGGGGAGAACTATGGGGTATGATCAGCCGGAGTGGCCTCCGGGATGGGTTGTTTTTAGTTGGGAGGCATCTGGATGGGAGGGGTGGGTGTGGGGAATTGTAAACAGTGGAACATGTACTCCTGCATGGTGAGAGGTATGTGGAGTGAAGGCAGGTGTTCGTTGGGGGTTTTATGCACGCCGTTGTGTTTAGCTAACACACGCTGTTGGCTCTACATAATGAATACAGGGTGAGGGCACTCATTGGCTTCCTGCATGTGGTGGGGCGAAGGACAAGCTGTGAGCATGAATTCTGATGAGAGTGGACTGTTGGGCCGCACTATAGCTCCAGGGTGTCCAGCCTGCAGAAGAAGAGCTGGGCACACCTGATCTAATGAAACTAGGTGGGATTTTGACTTGCTATGGTCTCATGTCACAATGTTATTTGAAAAACAGACCTTGTTTAATGCCAAAGTTAAGCAAATGACTCTAAGATATGTCTGATGATTGCACATGAAACTAATAACTCGTACTGTTTAGCTGGCTGTAAGCAAATTTTTCAGGATTCTGTGTGTCCTGAAAAAATGTTTACTTTTACTCTGTTAAAAGATGCATGTTGAGCTAAAACGCTAACGCTAACTCAAGCAGGATAAATATTTGTCCGAGTATGTTGGGCATACTGACCTTAATTAAACAAGCGGGAACTTCCTGCCTCTCTTATTTATTTCTGCTGAATCATTTATAAGAAGGAATTTCAAGGACTTCATTGGAAAATACATTTAAAAATACCACAAAGTTATTAAAGTTTCAAGAGCCTATACTTACTTACATCTGTGTGGTGGTTTTCCACATGAAAAGAAAAAATAACAAGTAAACAATCTGATATTTAAATAACGGGGAAAACTGTTAGTGTTTTTGAACAGCAAATCTTTTCAGAGACACTTTTGGCTCCACTGCGTTATTTTCTCCACTCATCCTAAAAAGATGCGTGACTTCAATTACTGAAAGCATTTTGACTGTTTCCATGCTGCAGCTCTACAGCCAGATCTTGCAGTTTTCTAACACGGATCTGAAAATATACACTTTATTTTTCTTGGAGAACACTGTTTAATTCAAATGCAGCAATTTGATTTATTCCGTCATCAGATTTTGAGTGAAATGAAATAAACTTCTTATAAAACAATGGAAGAAATGTGTTGCATGTATTGTGTGGATCTGTGTTTGCATCTTGGTTTTGTTAGACAAAATAAAACTGGAGAGAAAAGAAAACCTTTACTCATAAAAAAACAGATAATAAAAAAAATATTATTTTGTGATTCCAGCAGTGATTGGATTAAGAAAATTCCTGATGAAATTCTGAATGTCCTGCCTACTGGAGAGTCAGGGTGCAGAAGAACGTGTTAAAGTGAACCAGGCAGTGACCTGATGAAAGAAGTGCCGCATGGCTTAATAACTGAGTCAGTTTCACTGATGTACAGTATCCTTGACGGATAATATGACATCATTGTTTGGTATTTAATAAATTCATGTTTTCAGCACTTAGTTGGGATTTTATTAAAATAATCTGATGCATACTTGTTCAGAACAAACACGCGCAAACACCGCAAACAAGCTCACAAGTTTCAATTTATGACGTTTCACCTATGCGTGTATGGTGGCTGTTTTACCGCTCCAGTTTTATTATAACCCAACGTTTAAACTACCTAAAAGGCAGGAGCATCTTTGGTTTTGCATGTTCATCAACGAGTATAGACATGTTTTTTTCTTCTTTAGGCTAACGAAACCATACACCGTTCGTGCAGAAAAGACATCCTGTTCTGCAGCGCAGCGCCACCTTCATCAAACTCCTGAGTCATGTCCATAAATTATAAAGAATAAAAACAATAAAAGGTAACCTGAATTTTGCTTTTATGTAAGTGAAATGCGATATTTGTATTGTGTCTGAAAGCAGGAGTATCAGCAGCAGACTGACCTCACAGCTCTCATGATGATCTCAGCCTACCTGTAATCGGAGACATGATGACGCAGGATGGACGCAGCTTTAGTCCTTTATCTGTCAGGACATAAATGTCCTCTACAGCGCGTGCAGGGATCTCTCCTCTGACGTGATCTATACCGTCCGTCTGCGACCCGGGAGAGAGAGAGAGAGAGAGAGAGAGAGAGAGAGAGAGAGAGAGAGAGAGAGAGAGAGAGAGAGAGAGAGAGAGAGAGAGATCACCTGCCCCTTTTGTCCGAAGTGTCCAAAGTGCCCTTTTCCGGTCTTTCGTCAGATTTTACCGTTCAAAACTGTTATACTGTTACTGAAACATATCAGACACTAGGACCATGCGAAGGCAGCCGCCTCAAACTGATGCCATGTTTCCCTTAGATCCGCTCAGGGCCGTTGCTAACTATTTTGGTGCCCTAAGCACAAAGTCTTCGTGGTGCCCCCCCCCAGTGAGATCATGGAATGGGATCAAGAATTTTCTACTGACAGGAAAAAGATCTCAGCTAACATAGCTGTAGATCACACTGGATAACCCTCTGTGGTTGCATTTATTCTACTACCTCTTACTAGAGCTGTCGTTAGTAAGTGCAAAGTCAATTTGGTTGTACACCTGTGCAATAGCAATAAATTATCTTGAATCTTGATTCCTGTTAAATGTATGAGCGACCTTGTAAGGCTAAAATAACACAATGACAAATACAGACAGAAGAACGACTTCTTTCTTCTTTTTTAATGCGTTGCATCACCACCTGGTATCAGAACACTCAGAAGATAATCAAAAATCAAACAACTTGGACTCAGATAAGGGGCAAAAATGTGGTTGTAACATCTCTAGAAATGCCAGCTGTAAAAACTAAAATTATTTATGAACTAACATTAATGACACTAATTATGTTGTTTGAACCCAGGGGTCTCATTATCTGAATTTTCTAACTTGTTGGATTGTGAATCTGTTTAAAAGTTTTGCTCTATAATGCTGTCACATCAGTGTCCCTTTAATAATCTTTTTTTTACAAACATCCCATGCTAATTTACCTGAGTATGACGAGTTAAGGAAATTCTAAGAGGATGTTTTTGTATTTATTGTTTCTGCTGAATTAATGGGACAATTAGGGGAAAGGCGTGTCCGCTCCAGCGAGCCTTTATTAGAACAGGTGTGTGCCGCGCTGAAAGAAGAAAAAAAGGAAAAAAAGAGACAACGCCGGACACATAGGCGTCATTTTAACCGGGGACAGCGGGGACATGTCCCCGGCAAAATTTGTGATTGGCAGCTGTGTCCCCCCCACTTTCAAAAACGCCTGCAGATGAGGATTTTTGTTTTACCAGCTCAGATCTTATCCAGGGGTCGGCACCCTGTTCCCATCAAAGAACCATTATTACCCGTTTCCCACGGTAATTTTGGACGGACCTTAATAAGCAGCGACTTAAGTGAAGCAGGCAGGTCGCGCTAGAAAATTTCGTTTAAAAAGACGTCATAAATGTGTTCCCCCGTCATTTTTATTTCTAAAATATGAAGTAAAAACTCACAATTTAATTTTCATTCATTTGTCATTAATATGTAGTCTACACCCGTGCGTTAAGTGGACCATCTTCCAGTAAACGCAAAGCATCCAGTCCACCTCTCCAAATGCTAAAATGTGCATCAGCCGCTAGTTAGGCGCGCGCGCACCATGAGCTGATCAGCCCAGACAAGAGCAGAGCGACTAGAGAAAGACTAGAGGATAATTGTGTCTGGATGTGGATGGAGATTACATTTTACAGCAGCCTGATCATCATTTAAATACGTAAACCATCACTTCTAGTCCACGCTATCAGCATTATTTTATATTTTAATTGGTGTGTGTGTGTGTGTGTGTGTGTGTGTGTGTGTGTGTGTGTGTGTGTGTGTGTGTGTGTGTTTTCCACTTCAAACACTGGTCTAACCAACCAGACCAGTGTGTCCAGTAACACATTAATGTTACAATTAAACAGTTTCCCTTCATGTAGGCTAGGAACGTTTCACCTGCCGTGGCCCGACCGCTTCTGCTCCACATGAACTTTGTGCGTGATCAAATGTCTCTACGCGTCATGCGTCTCCATATTAGAGACGGGAACAAGCGCTGTTCAGCCAAAGTTTCATAATTTCATAAAAAGAACATTTTCCAAGTGACACATCCCTCAGAGAGACCGGGTTTCCAGAACGCTTCAGTGGGAGGAAATCATCGCATGCGCGTGGTTCTGCACTGCCAACCCCAGATCTTCAGCTCACTGTCCACCGGGGGCGCTCCGAGCCGCGCTGAACACAGTGTCCAGTATAAAGAGCTCTGATGTTCTGATGGGAATATTTTACCTCCGCGTGTGCGTTAACGATTAAAATGTCAGCTCATCCATGAGCATCCGTGTGCGTCGGGGTAATTTTTTCAAACCAAGCAACATCCTTGAGTTTATCTGTCAAAATAAACAGTCAAATGGAAATATCTGAAACCTGCCGTTTAACTGTTTTGCCTTCCTGTGAAGATTGTTGCAAAGAGAAACAATTAAACTTGATTAACCCTAGAGCCACACAGAGAACCATGCAGTGCGCATGCGGGAAGATTCCTCCCACTGAAGCGAGTGTTTTCCAAACCCTGTCTCTCAGAGAGACTTGTCACTTAGAAAATGTTCCCTGATTATGAAACTTTGGCTGAATAGTGCTTGTTCCTGGCTCCAATGTGGCGACACATCCAGGAGCCGTCTGAGGAGAAGCCCAGAATCTCACATCCTCTTCAGCTCATAAAGTGCCCATATGATTACGCACAAGCGTGACCGGTCAACCACCGCAGACCGGGTTGGACCTGTTCAGGTTTACGCAGACAATCTACATTTAGAATTGGCATACAGGTGTAAAATTAATGCAGTAAAATATAAAGCATTTTATTTAAATATCCATTTATTATTTTACAAGCACAGAGAGTTGCATCAGATGGATGGAAGAGCCGCATGCGGCTCCAGAGCCGCGGATTGCCGACCCCTGTGCTAGCCTACTTTATTGTCCCCAGCAATTTTTAAACCCCACTCAAGTGTATGGTTATTGTCCCCAGCAATTCTGAAAACAAACTGACGCCCTTGGCCGGACATCCGAGCGTGGAAGTGATCAGCATGGGCGCTGAAGAGGATCGATCCTGAGGATTAAAGCCGAGCAAACTGCAGGGTTTGACTGAGGTGCCAGTGAGGAGCGCGGAGGCCACAGCAGAGTCACCTGCCCGGTAAAGCCAGAGAGAGGGACAGATCGCGCTGGAGAGCCGTGACGACTGGGCTCCTTCACTTGTCGGCTTGGTCACCTCTAGGATCCAGAAAGCTACCGGGCCCGACTCGAAGCGAGAAGCAGACGAGAGCGTTTTGCGCAAGACGAGTAAATAATTTGGGGGATTAAGGACAGATAACACACACACACACACACACACACACACACACACACACACACACACACACACACACACACACACACACACACACACACATATATATATACATATATATATATATATATATATATATATATATATATAGAGAGAGAGAGAGAGAGAGAGAGAGAGAGAGAGGTAAATTCTTATAATTTATAAATAAACATAGATGACCTTTGACCTGCAAACATAGGAAGGCAATCCCAGATAATCTCTGATCTGTTTGTTTATGTCAGGCGTGCTGGTGAGTGAGACGGAGGTGAGGATCCACATGCGGGTGAAGAAGGAGGCAGGCAGGCAGGCAGACACGAACATTAAAACAGGGATTTTAATCAGGAACACGCTAACATAGAAACAATGATCCAACAAGAGACACAGAACTGAAGGGGTTTAAATACAACAGGGCTGGGAGCTTGGGTGTTTGGGAAACTAGGGGCAGGTGGGAGCAATTAACATGGACACAGGACTGAACAGAATGGGGAGACGGGACAGGGTGTGACAGTTTACTCATGAATCGTATTAAATTCTGCTGCCTTATGTAACCAGAAGCTGTTATAAAAGACTTGCTGAGGTTAACTCTTTCTCACCCAGACAGGTGCATCCAACTGGTTTAGATGTAGCTGTCTCCTTAATAAAACAACAAAAGATCAAACTTAGTACTTTATGTTGTTATTGTTGTCATAGGCTAATGTTAACAGCCCAACAACAATGTCTATTACCACTCCATTTTTTTTACTTTTGACACACACACACACACACACACACACACACACACACACACACACACACACACACACACACACACACTCATTCACCATGCTGGAAAGGCATGTGAGGTGTGGTTGCATTTTCCTTGGCAGATACAAAGTTATTATGAACTCAACATTCAACTTTCACACCATTAATAAAAAAGCACACTGTAAAATTTGTAAAATAAGTTCTTCCTGAGCTCAAGTTGAGTACCAGGGCATTACAATCCTAGATAACATCTAAACACAGCTAAACACTGCGTTCAGATAAGAAGTTAAAATAGGCAAAAAGAAAGGCTAGTAGACACAATCTGTTGAAATCAGACCAGAGGCCAAAAGAGGTGTTGTGAGACAGTAAAGAAGTTTCACTTTGGCAAGTCCCAGGTGAAGTTGTGCATCTAATTTCCAGTGGAAGGCCCTTCCACAATTTTGGGGCAAAAGCTTGATTTCCGCAACTCCTAAGCTTAGTTCGTGGAACAATCAGTAGGTTATTGGCAGTGGAGCAAAGTTATCTTAAGGGGGCATGTTTTTGCAAGAGCGACGATAAATAAGGTCATGACTGGAATGTGAACCTTGATCTCAATGTTATTTTTTACCGGAAGCCGCCGCAGTGCGTGTAACACCGGAGTGATGCTCCTATTTTTTCATTCCAGAAATGAACCTTCCTGCAGAGTTCTGAACATTCTGCTGCTTTGGCAGTGTTGAAGTAGTCAGGCTTATATACAGAGAGTTGCAGTAGTTGAGTCTGGAAACCACAAATGCTTTTTAGACAGGATAGGCTTTGTACTTGCCAGGCGCCTAAGCTGAAAAAAGCAGGACCTCACTTCAGAATTCACCTGTCCATCAAAGGTCAATCCAGAGTCCAATCTCACACCAAGATCAGTTTTGCATTCAAATGGAGCCAATGATAAAAGGTCTAGGCTCCATGGTTGATTGCCATTAGGAGAAAAAAACAATAACTTCTGTTTTGCTCTTATTGCAGCTTAAGGAGTTGGCCGACAACCATGAATGCATCTTTTACGCACTCCACCAGAGACTCAGCCCATCCAGACAACCCCTTTTTTTAACTGGTATATAAATCTGGCAGTCGTCAGCATACAAATGAAAGTCAATAACGCACCTGCGAAAGATCGTGCTGATTGGAAGTAGATCGATTGAGATTGAGATGAGGGACCACCCATTTCAGCTGCTTCTTCCAGCTCTTGGTGGGTGCAGACACTTTTTTCCTCCTCTCCTCCATATCTTATCCTCAAGGCCTTTGTCTGTCTCTGTGTGCTGCGTGCACGGCTGCTTCTGCATTTTTCTGGGAACTGGAAATTGAAATACACTTAAATGGATCTCGTCAGCTGGTCTCAACGCGATTGATAAAAAATTTTCAACGATGAGAACGGGAGAAGGGGCTCCCTGATGTCCTGCCGGGACAGACCCAGTTGGATACATCATGGACTACTGGAAACAGTGGAACTTGATTTGTCTATCTCAGCTGTCTGTGGAGGACTCTGAAGACGTGTGGATATTCGTGGTGTTGGTGTCAGGTTTCCTGCTCATTTTCCTTGAAGGCTACCTGGCTTACCGGAAAATTAACAAGCTGTCGAGGAATATTGGCCTGATCCCAGAGCTCACAGATGGTTTGCACCATGCTGTGAATTCACAGACTCAAATAATTGTCGAGATGAATCATAAGCTTGGGACTTTGGCGGAGATTCATTCTTTGGCACAAAAGATGGATGTCATCAAGGAGAAAGTGGATGAATCAGCACGGATTGGGATAGATTAACGTCCATTATTGGGATTCTGAGAGGATGAGGACCAACAAACTGTAAGACAGAGAGGAAATTATCTCTGTCTGGCCCCAAAACAATTTCTAATCAGAATCTGGCGTCCTTGAGCCTGCGAGGCTCCAAAAAAACTCCCCCCTCAGAAGATATGGGGAATGTGCCGTCGCTATGGCAACTCAACTCTTTCTCCTTTCCCAGCCTGGGCAGGATGCGGGAAGGCCGCTGAAGCGTCCAGGGTCACTGCAACCTTCCAACCCTCAATGCTTTCCCCCCTATCCACACTGAGGTGACATGTGCTGCTTCATCGTGGCTGCAGGAACTGCAGTGAGGATAGTCCCAACCCACCACCCCACCTAGTGGACACTTATGTTGTGTTGTCTGAAGTCTGTTGCATATCTGTCTGAGGTGTTTTTTTGCAGAGCAAAGCTGCCCTCCTGGTGGGAGGGCAACTCTGAAGTGCCTTTTTTTCCCTCCACCTGAACCAATCCTCATGTAACCCTCTCATCTCTATTAAGGTAGCGCGACTCAGGGTTGCGAATGACCACAGTCACCAATTCTTGTCATGTGTCTTGCCCATGTACGTCTGATCTCTGAAGTGTGTGTACTGAAACTCTAATTTCCCTCTGGGATTAATAAAGTATCTTTGATTGATTGCTGATTGATTGCCTGTAGAAATGCTCATAGTTCTACCAGTCAGGTAGGACCTTATCCAACTCAGAGCTGCTCCTGAAATCCTCACTCACTGCTCTAGCCACTCCAGCAGGACCTGATGGTCGTCAGTATTGAACGCTGCAGTCAGGTCAATAATCAGCAGCACCACTGCCTCCCCAGCAACAGTTGTCAGGAACACATCATTGAGCACCTTTAAGAAGGCAGTTTCAATGCTATGCCCGGCTCTGAATTCAGACGGATGCGGTTCCAGGATCTCATGGGTGGCTAAAAATAGAAAGAGCTGATCATAAACTACCTTCTCCAGATTCTTTGCACAGAAAGGACGGTGCGAGATTGGCCTCTAACTGGAAATAACTTCTGGCTCCAAGGCTGCTTTCTTGAGCAGGGACTTCACCACTGCATGTTTAAAGTTGTGAGGCACAAGGCCATGATTGAAGCTGCTGTTTATGATGGACACTACCAATGGAGCTACCACAGGAGAAACCGCTTTAAAGTACCAGGCAGGCAAGATGTCACACAAGGAATCTGACGGCTTCATTCTGGAGACCAGTTTCAGCACATTGGGCACAGAAACTTCTGTAAATTAGTCAAATGTTGCTGACAGTGGAGATGGAGCCAAGGGGGAGTATTGTGGATCATACGCTAGAGAGGCTCTTGCAGTTGCAGGTTTCTCCAGAAAAAATATAGAGATATTCTTGCAACTCTCAGCTGAGTCATCCACTGTGCTTATCAAGCCCCCTGGGTCAAGCGCTGAACTCAGAGTTTTAAAGAGTACTGGCTGGTCACCCCAGGCTGAGGAGATAATATCAGCAAAATAGTTTGTTCTAGCCGTGTTACCTGTCTCGGTGTAACAAGTTAGCTTGGACCTGAACAGCTCTAAAGAGATTTGAAGTCTGCCTTTCTTCCACACCCTTTCAGCCCTCCTGCAGTCACGTCTAATGCGTCTGGCTTCCTCTAAAGTCCAACGTTCCGATTTTTTCCCAAGACTTGGCAATCTCATCCAAGACTGATGTGCATAGCAAGTGAAAGCCATCACAGAACAACTCTGGGTCAATCCCGGCTGAATACAATGATGGCCACCTGTTAGAGACAGCCGCAGAGAATTTAAACATGTTTGAGTGTTCAAAAACCAGTGACGTTTAAGAGCAATTGTTCTCACTACTGGTTGAGTAATGATATCACAATCAAACACAAGTGCACCATTGATGCCCTTAATATCACCAGACCACCATGCTTCAACAGAACTGCAGGACTTTTAAATGAACAATTAGCCTTATGAAATAATCAACTTGGATCAACATCCAAGCCAGGAGAGCGATATAGAGAGCTGGCAGCTTTGTCTTTCTTGCAAAAATGTAGTGATGTCATTCAGTCTCACTGGATTAATAATAATTTTCTGTGCAAAACACAAACAATTTCCACGTGAGTTCAGACTGCTGAGCCCAGTCAATCAGAAATGTGTTTAGCTGTTATTCTGCATCAAAGTTGTTCTTGGTCAGTTGTATTTCCTTCACCAGAGGACTGGGTTGTGTGGACGCTAACAGGTGAAGCTCACAGCTAACAGCCCATCTGTCTCATTTAGATAATCTAATCTGGAGGATTAAAGCTTCCTGCCTCAGGAGGAGGAAACACCGTTGGATTTGTGCTTCATGCTTCTATGCTACACAGGTACTGTGTAATGATTTAAGTTTATTTGGCTTTAATTTGAACAATTTACAGATTTTTTTAATAATTTAAAGTAAATTGGACCACAGATTATGTGTGTAGTTGTGATTTTCATTAAGCTAAAGCCTGAAGCTAGGGAACCATATGTAGCTTTTGCCATTGGTCACAATTTTGCACAAACTTTTAACAAATGTATCCCTAATGAGTTAAATATTTAGCCGAGTTAAACTGTTGAATAGATTTCAGTGACGCTGCAGGTAATAAGAGGTGTGGAACCTCTCACATGAAACTAGTTGATCCAGTGTAACCAGTGACCTAACACTCACCGGCTCCAAAATCTTTCCTGTTTCTGTTTAAACAAACATACAAGCAATGTTTTTGTTTGAGCTAAAGCATTTCTCCTCTCATCATTCACATCAGAGGAATAATTAACCAAATAATTGTTAAATTTATTACATGTTATTCTCTAGTAATCCTTTAAAAGGCTTTAGCTATGATAGCTTTTAGCCCAAAATCTCAAAAATAATAAAGAATGTTGCATTTTGTGGATGATTTACCTGCAATTGTATTTCTTTATTTTTACCATGTTTTATTTTGTTACTAAATGTGTAACAGGCTGGTATTCCACTGTATAAAAGGTATAAATGAGTATTTTTTATAATAAAAAGTTGGGACCGGTACCTGACTCTGGATTTTGATACACAGAGTCCAGAAATCAATCGAACAAGGAAAACAGAACCTGGCAGAATTTTGGTATTAGTGATGTAACTGAAATCAAAGCCATAATTAGATGTGAGTGGTGTAATTGGAGCAGCAGCTGTTACAGCACCATTTAAATTAAATAAAAAGAGAAACACATTCATTTCTTCGCTTGTGTTAACGCGTGTGTTCTCAGGTCGTCTGGTTCCTGCCGTCTCTCATGCCTTCCTCTGGGAACTCGGTGAAATGGACGTTACCAGAGTTCTTTGGGCAGCGGAGGCTGTTGGGTCTTGGAGCTCTGCTGGCGTGGCTCATTCTCTTCCATCTCCTGGTCAACGCCTGGTTGCTCTGCATCTTCACCAGCCTTTTGGTGGTTCTGGGCAGTTGGCTGGGTTCCAGAGCGGCTCTGGATGCCAACAGCTTTCTACACTTGGAGCACTTCCTGCCTCTGGGTAAAGCTAACCCTCAGTGTTCGCCTGAGCATGAGTGGAGGCTGAACCACGAGATCCACAGCGCTGTCCACAAAGCGGTGCGTGATTTTGTGTCCTCGTGGTATCGCACCATGCTGCCTGAGGTGGAGGGGGAGTTTGAGCGTGCAGTGCGTAACTCAATGCTGGAGTCAGTGATGGAGCTGAAGGAGCGAGCTCGGCGAGTGGACAGGAAAGCGCTGGTTCAGCGCCTGCTTGAGCTGTACGGCTGTCACCTGCAGAGCTACATGACAGTGAGACAGGTACAGTCAGCACAGAGGGAGAGGGGGGAGAACATCAGCCTGTGGCACATCTACAGTCAAGTAGATTCTCCTCATCCAGCTGTGAGCAGTCCCACCACTGAGCTCACCTACTCCAGGGCTCTAGTTAACCTTGTGCTGCAGGTTCTGGTCCCGTATCCCCAGATGGAAACCAGGACAGGTAGTTATATGGTTACAGAACTCATCACCTGCAATGTGCTGCTGCCGCTCATAAGCCGAGTATCTGACCCTGACTGGCTCAACCAGACCATTATGGACATATTCACCAGATCCAGAGAGCCACAGGAGATCAGCGCGGAGGACTCTGCTGCTGAAACATTATACAAGTGTCCGATCCAGCACGAGTCCTGGACCAAATGCAAGCCTCCATCGGTTTGTGATCTGACTGATTCAGGGAGCACCATACACACCGATGATCGTCAGAATCAGAGCGCCATCTCTGCAACAAGCTCCTCCATCAGCAGCATGTTCAGCATACCAAACACAGAGAACTGCTGCTCGCTCACGCCTGACTCGCTGTCATCAGGATCAAAAGTGGTTTCCCTGGACTCTCTCATCCCTTCGGAGTCAGGCGAGGACTTGAGCAGAGCTCTCTGTAACTGTGGTCCTCTCACCAACCTCTGCAGCCCGCTTGCTATGAACGATGAAGAAGCTGTCGGTTGTTTTGGGCCTCTGAGGAATCTTGGACCAAAGGCGATTGTGCCGGACGACTCGCTGTGGCCAGCAGGAATAGCTCAGGAAAAGTCTCCGGCATACCCTCGAAGGAATCTGCGTCTAAACTCCTTCAGCCTTGACTCCCCCACCGCTTCAGCAGTGAATTTCCAAAACCTGCATATTTCTGGTACAGTCAGCGTCAAGGAGCAGCGCAGCACCGGCACACACACCTACACACTCTTCAATGTACAGGTAACACGATATTAACTCATTCATTTTATTTTGATTAGTTTTGATCACATTTGAACTCATACATATGAGCAAATACCCACAATCTGGACAAGGAAATGCTTTTGTGTTTGGCGATTTTAGGTGAAACAAACAAATAAATCTAGATCATTTTCATCACAGATGTAACATGACCACCGCTCTTTGTAGAAGACAACTCATAGCTCCCTTTCTCTGCACCCTGTAATATCCTTCAATGTGCATGTGAAATCTGAAACCTGCCTCTGTTTTACAGTTTGAGACCCCGGCTGATGGCGACACCCCCGACACAGCACGACCTGCAACCTGTCGCACCGTCAGACGCAGATACAGCGAGTTCCTCAACCTGCAAGCTCGATTAGAGGAGAAGCCTGAAGTCAAGAAATTAATCAAGCGTGAGAACGGACTCACAAAATGTCACCATTTCCAAATATCCTGAGACAGATTTGACATGACGACCGCTGGAGATAGGCACCAGCCCCCCACCCCCCACCCCGCGACCCTACATGGACAAGCAGGTTCAGACAATGAATGAATGGATGGAAGATTTGACATGACATTGTTTTGTATTTTAGACGTCAAAGGCCCAAAGAAGATGTTCCCTGATCTCCCTTTTGGAGGTCTGGATGGGGAGAAGGTGGAAGCTCGTAGAAGTCAGCTGGATGCCTTCCTGAAGGTATTGGGATGAAAACGTGAACAACGAAGGAGGGATTGTTGCATAATCTGGTTGTGAGATAATTGATTTATTCGTTGTAGCAACTTAGCAGCATTCCTGAGATAACCAGTGGTGAAGACATGCAGGAGTTCCTTGCCATCAACTCAGACGTCTGCACGTATTTTGGACGAAAACCTTTAAACAAATCGAGGATTGATAAGGTAGACAAAACTAATCCAAACCTGGAAACTCACTTTTGCTGAATGAGTTTTATTTTGTTTCTTGGTAAAACTGTACCCGGAAGCTGGATAATAGTTTGGCTTTTTACTTTTTTTTTTTTCTGTTATTAATCTCATGTTTGAATTCGCCTTTGAAGATGATGGAAAACGCTTTAGATACGTTCAGAACAGCATTCCCTCACCCTGAGATCCCCAGTCCCATGGAGGACGTTGAAGGCGACACTGAAGGACGAACGATGGATTACAGGAAGTACAGGTTTGGGCTTCATCAATCCTCTACTGCATAAACTATTGAGTCTGTTATTCACCATCTGTTAAGACAAGCAAAAAGTGTGGTGATCCCAGAAGATTCGGTTTTATTTCTTGTTTTACTTTGAATCTTCATTTCTTCTTTCGATTTTGTGCTTCAGAAGGTTGTTCCCAACCAAAGTGTCTCCATCTCTGAACATGACCGACCTTCATCCTAAAGTGACCTACTGTTTCAGTGAAGGCTGCACGGTGAGGAGTCTGTTTTTGTCTTAAACAGAAACGGGACAGCTGATCTGGTTTCTGTTGGGGCTCTGCAGGTTCTTAACAGGATGTCGCTGTCAGGCCTGGAGGCTTTTGTCAGGGAGCAGGAATGTGGGCTGAACGTGACAGAACCAACGAGGAGCTGTGAGCTCCAGGTCAAAGACAAGAGAGTTTCAGATAAATCAGGTTGTGATTTTGTTGGTTTAGTTAATGCAGAAATATCCTTTTACAGCCTCCTATAGAAGATCCATGCAGTGTCTCAGAATCTCCACACAGGTGCAGCATCGCTCTGGTGTTTGTCCAAGCCTCCGCTAGTCCCCTTCCATAAATGGTGTGTTCAGTCTGTACTGAGATTCTTACATTTTGAGTTAATATTATGCATTTTTCTGTGTGTGTACTTCAGATACAGCTGTGGCAGATGTTGCTTTGAACATTTTGTGCCTTCTGATGAAGGATCATTGGAGCTGGTTGTGCACAGAAAACATACAAAAGGCTATCAGGTTGCTGTTTGGCACCTTCATTGAGAGGTCAGATGCTTTCTTTCTGAAGGGTTGAAAACTCCACGGACTGAGAAACCTGCTGTCCTAAACTCCTGATTGATGTTTCAGATGGTTGGATGTAGGCGCTGCCCACCTCACTAGTGCCCCCTGCTGGGTGATTTACCTCCAAGTGCTGCAGGAGGCTGTGTGGCCAGGCGGCAGGCTGCCTGCTCATCCCCGACCCGAGAGAAGCGCAGCAGAGAAACAGGAGACAAAGGAGCGGTGTTTAAACTGTGTGATGCAGCTGATCCCTGGTACAAAGCTTCTATCAGAGAGAGACTTCTGGTGGCTTTGATTTGCAGGAATTCTGAAGGTTTTGTTCTTCTGCAGAGCTGATAGCTGACATGCTGGGCAGTGAAAAGTTTAGGCTGAGCTTGGAGACCATGCTGGAATCTCTACAGGATCATCAGATAAACAAGTGAGTATTTCTGTGCTCACACCTCTGATAAAAGATCAATACCTCCACATTTTTCATATGATACACACACAAAAAGTTGGTTTCTGTTCTTGTTGATGTTTGTGTTTATCTAAAGGCATCTGATCTACTGCATGTGTGACCTGCTGCTGGAGTTTCTGATCCCTGAATCATGTGACGAGGCCTTCCAGAGGTGTCTGCTGCAGACTCTGGCTAAAGCCACGGGGAGGGACGGCCCCCATATCAGATCAACAAACTCGTAGATTTGATCTCAAGTGCAGGAAGCAACTGATCAAATTAATGAGGTCCAGGCTAAACAAGCAACATGAGTGTGTTTTGTGACTTTATTCATTTATTTGTTAATGCAAATGTTTGTTCTTGCAGATAAGATGATGTCTGCAAATGATTCTGATTTTAATTGAAACATATTTTTAAGGTTGAATGATTGAACGATTCAACTGATTAAAAGAAAAGGCTTTTCTATAAAAAAGGTAAACATAACAGTAAAAAAATAAATGATTATTTTATCAATGTGACCAAATATTTTTGGTGATGTGATTTTTATTGCAGCTTAGTTCTCATGTGTCCTTTCCACTGACACAGCTCTAAGCCCTGATAAAAGCTGGTGCCTCATTCTGATAAAGGATGGTTGCAAACTTTGTTCTTTTTATTATTTAACAGGGAACCATTTCTGCCTTTAGCCTCTGGTGTTATGGTGTGGCTCTTGCTGTTGCTCAAAGAAATTCGTATTATTGCTAAATGAGGTTTTCCAATCTCTCTTTCTGGCTTTACCAAAACGTTTCACAGAGAGCTCAGATAAAAGCAGAAACTTTGATTGTTCTGATTTAAACTTGGATTCAGTGCAGTTTTTGAGAGAATCCCTGTTTAATCCACCAGAGCTGTCCTTAAGACACTTCAGAGCTTTTTTAACCTGTGTATTCAGCAGATCATCCCATTTTCCAGCTTTGAAATGCACCTTTTGTAAAAATAATTTGGATTAAAATCCATCCTGTTTTATTTGATTTTATCAAAGTGAAATTATTCTTTAGCTCACCTGCAACACATCATGCAACATTAGTCTGGCCATGACCAGTGTTGGGAACATAACTTTTAAAAAGTAATTCATTATAGTTACAAATTACTTGGTCCAAAAATAAACTCAGTTACTTACTGAGTTACAAGATTATAAAAGTAACTAATTACCAAGAATATTAATTATTTGGTTACTTTTTTCATAAAGAATGCAAGAAAAATGGGTTCCTCATTTAAAGTGACAGTGTGTATTTTTCTTGGCAATAGGGGGTGTAGATACCTAAATCTTTGTAAGCAAGCAGTATTTTTGTGTTGGGTTAACCTTACCAATGGATGCTCATTTGGGTCAAAAAGCCCTGGGGAGTGCAAACTTCAGCAAAATAACAAGCACACCAGACTTCCTTTCATTACTGGCAACTAATGAAGAGGTACATGTGTAAAACAACGTTTATGAATGGTGAAAGTTTTGTAACTGTTTGTTACAAATCAGTAAATGCATTTTGTCCTCAAGGGCTCCCATAGAAGGAAACATGGCATCACCCCTTAGACCCGCTCCCATGTACTTTAGACCCGATTTTTATGGTTATATGTTACAAAGCTGCTTATATTTTTCAACAGCTTGACATCATTTCATTCGTTTTCAACAACATTTTGATGGATATTTACCAAGATTAACAGTAAAAATTGTTGTCACTTTAATGAAACTGACTTCTTTACTGTAAATTACTACAATGCTAAAATTCACACCTGCAGCAGTGAATCTGCGGGTCTGCAGCCATAGACTATTCATCACGTCCTCCTCGCTCCTCACAGCCATGATGCATTTGGATGAAAACATCTGCCCCTTTAGCTCCCGATCAGCTGATGACAGCTTCAACACACCGCACTGCTGAATTATAGTAATGCACACATTTTCCTATCGGTAACAGAAACGGCGTCATGACAAAAGAAGACAGTAATTTATTAGATTACTAGTTACTGAAAAAACTAACTTCGCTGTTGTTTTTAACACCATTATTCCCATCACTGACTATGACCCATAGACAAAGTAGGGGCAAAATCAACGGCTGTCTTTCAAACTGTCTCCGCACGCAAATGGCAAGTGCTTGGACCAATCAGAGCAACAAACAACATGACGTATTCATCGCTACCAAAATCAGCCAACGAGGCAGCCTGTTTTCTAACCCTTACCCATCAAAGAAGAAAAATACAATAAGAAGCAAATACATCCTTTTTAGAAATAAATTACTTACCTGATTCTTCTCATGTCCTAAAATAAAAGTCCAAGTCTAAATCTTCCAAAGGTGTTTCAAAAAGCACCGTTTGAGCCGCCGACATCTTTGTTGTTTTATTCTGCTGCAGACTTCCATCATCATAGACAAAAAAGACTCTCTTGTAAGGTTGCTAAGACAACGTCTCTCTAAAACATAGAGTTAAATTTAGCTGAGCCTATGCGAGACCTGCTGAGGCCACAGTGGACTGTGGCTAGACCAGCCTTCATCTGTTTGCTACTGCTACAGTTTGTTTAGATTTCTGGGCTGCCTTAAAGAAATAAAAGCAATTTTAAACTCCCTAAAAAGCAAGTTCACTGAGAAACAGTCTTTTACTCATTCTTTTTAAAATATGATTGGTCACACTTATTTTCACATACAGTACACGGTGACAGTGAAAATGGTCGTCAACACCTTTTTCCTGAATTAGCCCTCAAAAGATAATAGACAGTAACATACTCTGGTCAGCAGACACACCGATCCAGGTCACACTGTAAATTTACTTTTATAGACTCACCCATCTAAGCTTATGACTGGGAAGGCTGTTGTTGATTTAGTGTCCAGGAGAGAGCAAAGCATGTCTCGGCTAGTAGGAGCTAACTGTTAGCATTAGCATCAAATTTCAGTTTGTAGTTTAGACTTGTCTTATTACCATGTTGTAATGATCAATTTTAATTACATCTAATTAAGGACCATAAGACATTAAAAATGCATATGTAGTATCTTATGGACACTGGGTTATTTAAATCAGAAGATGGGATCTTTTCATTACAGGGACTTTAAAATAACGCTTTGCATTAACTGAGAGACAAGAGAAGAGAGAGAGACTTTCAACGTTTAAGTAAATGTATTACTAAATAATTTTAAACAATTTAAGAAGACTAATTCTCTAATGATGGATGTTCTGTTTGAATGGAGTGTGAGGTGAATGGTGTGTGTGAAAGATGTCAAATTCAGAACCCTCGCATCCGTCTTTCTGTCTAATTATGTTATGCTATGGCCATTCATGCACTGTGCGCCGGAGACCTGCATGTGGCTGCTGCACCGCGGCTTGTATTCGAGTGCGGCATGTGTGTATGTGTGTGTGTGTGTGTAGAAAACCTTTTTTGTTTTTTTGTTGGTGCGGCTTATATTGAGGTGCGCTCTATAGTCCAGAAATTACGGTACTAACTTCCTCCCAGCCGATGATGCTCAGATTAGCACTCAGCACTCTGATTTATGAAACCACAGAGAAAACTTTAATCTCTGACTCAGGAGCAGACAGAATCTGCCAGGACCTGACAACTGCTTCCATATGGGAGATTAACTCCATCTGACAGCACACATAATACTGTTACACGTGAGTACAACAACATCATAAAAACAATTCAGATGAATGTGTTTTCTGTTCATCAGAGCCCAGACTCGTGATTGTGGTCAGCTCTGTGTTTACTCCAGACACCTTTTGTTCTTGTACAACTGTCAGGATGGTCATTAGGAAAAGAGACAAGCAGATCTGAACATCTGGAGGAAACTGGACCATCAGTAATCTCACAGACTGCTGAAGATAATCAATGAAATGTCAGAAATTCAAAACCAATTAGGGTATTTGTTTTTCCGAACTGTTTGTAGAATGTTGTTGACATATTCACTTTGTCAGTCTAAGCTGTGAAAAATAATCCATAGTTTTTGTTGTCATCATTGAGGTACATAGGAGTTTTTGTCTCATCCACTTTTCTGATTGAAGAGTAGCCTTAATGGAAGCCTAATCGGACCCAGCCACCTCCACACGCTCCTCAAGATCTCCAAGTGTCCCAGTCTGGAGCTACGATCCCTCCTGCGTGTCCTGGGTCATCCTTGGGGTCGCTTTTCCCTCCTGGAAGGACACGCCTGAAGCTTCTGAGGTGTCCAGGAGGCATTCTGGCCACATGTCTGAACCATCTCTCCTCTCAACATGGAGGTGCAGTGACTCCAGTCTGAGAACTTCAAAGAAGTCATACCTCAATACGTGGAGTAATCTCATCTTGTTTGTCTGAGTTGATGAATCTTCAGATCATTACTAAAGCTCAGGACCATCTAATGTTGGATCATTCACCAGTAAATCAAGAGTTTTGCCTCCAGTTTTGCCCTTTGTTCACCACAACGACCTGGTAGCCGTCGCTTTGCTGCAGATGCTGACCCTGTTCCACCTCCTGAGGACCCACCACCAACAGGAGGAGCTTTGAGGCTCTGGTAACATGTGGACTGAGACAGTAGCTTGGCAGTCTAATGCCCAAGAAACTTTTATTTTGAAACAATAAAAGATTTTCAAATAAAATCCAACCAAGAACCAGATTTTTCCAAACCACATAATTTCAGCCAACAAAACATTCATGTTCTTCTCCGGACCTTTAATTGGACTCATGGGTCTACGCTTGTTCAGACTGATTTGGTTGTGCAATTTTCTGAAAGTAGGACTCGATAAGTCTGTTCTGAAAGAAAATAGAAGAAGCAAATCTTCCAATAAAATTCAAATGAAGCAGTTTAGTAAAACAGTTCTTGGACAAACTCAGTTTTTTATGAAAGTCAATGACGACACACACTAACTATGTTAACTACAGTTTACTGCATGTCATAGACACAACAGCAGCATTCAAAATCATGGAAGTGTCGTTTTTTCTGATGTAAACTTACACATGCATGTGTTAAAATCCACTACTTTAATTTCAACTCTCTGGTCAGAAACCCACTTTTAAAACTAGACCAGAGGCCCTTTATGCACAACTCACTTCCTTTCTCATAAGATCTCTGACTGATACTGGCAGGTGTCCATCTTCTGTCTCATGCTTTGGGACTCAACTCATAATAAGAGACAAGAAGCTCTCACAGCACCGATGGTGGCCTCATACATGTAAAGCTCAAAGGGACTGTAATGACTGATCAGTGGAACAGCATAAACACCTGAAACCTCAGTTAGTTTTCTGGTTCTGTTCAGAATAATTTTATGATTAACTTCAAATATTTTCTCAAAATGTACAAGGTGAGGTGAGGTGAGGTGGTGCTCACTCCTCACCCCTGCCATGTGAACCTCAAGGAATAAACCATCAATCCTGCTCAATGGTCAACTTTCCTGGTGGGGTCACACCCAATAGGACAGTGGGAGGGTTAAAACATGGCTACTACACAGGATGATGAGCCCAAAGACATCTACCAGTAATATGGTAAGGATATTAAAAAGCTGTCCTCATAATGTGTCATGGCACACAACAGCAGATGTTGTTTTTGTGTGTGTGTGATTGCTGGGAAGTCAGCTGTAGGTGTCAGCAATGACTGCACTGAGTCCAACCACAAACCAGCCAACAGCTTCAAGATGATGAAGACGATTTTGTTTTTCCTGGATCGGTCACACAAATGAAGAAACCTCTCAGAGTAGGAGAGTTCAGGGCTGTATTAGCTGTAATCCTACATATTTCCATCATCCAGTTACATACCCAAACCAGAAGACAAGTTTATTACTCTGGATTAGGAATAAACTATTGTGACTAAGATTTGAAAGTGTCACATTTCCATCTGAAAAAATGTCACACACAGTTTCTCCTCCTCATCCAACAGCAGCCTCCTGCATTTTTTCCTTTGAATTTGAGGTCCAGGTGGAGATTTTATACAGAAATTATGATAAAAGTCGGCAAACTCTGCAAAATCATGAGACTTTAGATAAGAAAAGTTTCGACTTGTCAGAACTTTCACCAGAACTCTGAGATGGTCT